GTTATCAAATTTTTTGTTTGTCTATGTTGTTAGCTTAAAATTTGTAGACGTACTTGTAAGTCTATGATATAATTTTTGGTTTAACTATATTGTTTGCTAATAATTGTAGATGTACTTGTAAATCTATTTTATAATTTTATCAAACATGAAATTTTTGTTTGCTAATTATGTAAACCATATTTTTTTTTTGTAGGAGATGACTCAATTACTCATTGTATACAGAGAATGGGTGGTGAAAAACTCTAGATGTGTTAGTGTTATGTGTCGAACTTATGAGTTGTGTATTAGTGTTTCATTGCTTTGAGTTGTCTTCTATTGGATTTGTAGGTCTTTAGTATGTGTTGAACTTGTGATAGACTTATGTTATATTTTTCTTTGTCAAGTAATAAGTCTACACAAAAGAAGACTAATAAGTAACATCACTTTTTTATGGCTCCAATAGTAGTCTTTTATTTTAGGTTTCTTAAAAAAACTGATAACACAAGTCTATACAAGTAAGTCTACACGAAAGAAGACTAATAAGTAACATCACTTTTTTATGGTTACAATAATAGTCTCTTATTTTAGAGTTCTTAAAAAAAATGATTACACAAGTCTACACAAGTAAGTCTGTAATTGCACTTCCAATGCTCCACTCAAAACATTGGGCTCCCATGCAATGTCCACTTAAAAGCTTCGCTTAGCTTCCTCAAAGGACAATTATCAGCCTGCACTTTTCAAAGTTAACATATCAAAAAGATAGAAACTTAACAGAAGAAAAACAAAAGTACAACATGATTAACCTTTTAGCCTGAAAATAAAAGACTGGCTAAAGATCACACTCCCAAACACTGAAACTCACTTACATTTTGTAAATGTTCTAAAAAAGCATGGCTGACACATCCCAAAGGCTACTAAGGAACCCACACACTTGACATCAAATATTTGTTAAGGTGGTAAAGGGAAATGGCAACCGGAAGAATTATATATTCATTTTGTATCTAGGGGGCGGAGACAATGGATACAAAGATATATTACCTTCCCTTAGGTGACGTGGCAATGCAGTAACACCAGGCTGTGTGGCCTGTGAGAATATGAAAGAACTTTAATTGTGCCTAAACAGAAGAATATACGAAAGAAACGTTTTATTAAGCTCATTCTCTCAAGTTCAGGAACAAAGAAAACTAAGCTAAGGGAATCGTCTGCAGAAAAAGAATATATTTGAAATCCTCACCAAGTCCAGTAGTGAAGAAGAAAAGATATCTTAACATGTGCAAAGCAGTTTCGCTAAAGAAGACGAAAGCTAAAGAAGCATTACGAAATCGTTTTCTCTGCTATGGTACATATTCGGAGCATGTACTAACACTTTCACAACCAAGTTGAGTTAAAACATAAGGTTTCATAAAAAAAANAGAATATATTTGAAATCCTCACCAAGTCCAGTAGTGAAGAAGAAAAGATATCTTAACATGTGCAAAGCAGTTTCGCTAAAGAAGACGAAAGCTAAAGAAGCATTACGAAATCGTTTTCTCTGCTATGGTACATATTCGGAGCATGTACTAACACTTTCACAACCAAGTTGAGTTAAAACATAAGGTTTCATAAAAAAAAACTAATAACATGACAGTGAAGTGAGGCACGTTAAGGTTCCTTTTGGTTTTGAAATCTTTTCACCTCTGTTTTTCTATTGCAGCAAGAGAGTTAAAAACTAAAAAAAAACTAATAAATTTGGAATGACCTCGGAGTGATTCTTGGACTCTTTCTTTGCTTGTGGGAACAGTTAATGAGGCTCACAACTTCCATTCAAGAAGCAGTCTGTTCTGTCTCCATGTATGATTGCTTCATCCAAACCGGAGCTAGCCTTGTCTCATGTGGCTCTTTCACCAGCGGCTCCACCCTAGAGATTACATCCTCGGATTCCAACCTTTCTTCTCCATCTAAATTGATATTAAATACAAAATAACATTATTTAACAAAAAAAATAAGAAAAAACTATAGACAAAAATTTACATTTAACATATTTTATCAAGTAGAGAGAGAAGGGACACAACTCCCTGATCGGAGAAGGACCGTCGGCCTCTACGCCGTCGATCCCCAGCAAAGCCCTGCTCGAGCTCGACCCTGTAGTGGTCCTCGTGGAGAATCGTGGAGCCGTAGAATCCTTCCAGTGACTAAAATGAGATCTTCCTCCTCGCCTGGACTAAAATGAGATCTCACATAGTTTAAGAGAGCCTGTGGCAGAAGAATACAAAAGACTCATCAGAAACTCTCCAGGTATATAATCTCAGAAAAAATGGTTGCTATCTAGAACAAAAAGAAACTAAAGTATAGATAGTAATGAGTACCTCGCAAATTATCACATCGTCTGCACTACTGTTGTTGTGCAAGTTTTGGTGCCACTCTTCCATCATGCCGGATTTGCAGTGATTATTTCTCTAACAAAAGATATACAAATACAATTATTAGTACAAATCCATAAGTAATAAGGTTTAGCTCCATAAGTATGTAGAAGCATGTACCTGAATAACAAGGATTTCATCACAGATTCTCTGACCAACATCAGGCGAGGTGGAGAAGGTAGCGGTTCCTCGGGTGGTACGCGGCGAAGAGGAGGCGGAGGATGCGCCGGGAGTCGCCGGAGGATCCGGAGATGAGGTAGGCGATGGAAGGAGGGGAAGTGTCGGCGGGGATGGAGGAGGAGGAAGGGAAGAGCCTCGGGTCGGGGCGGAGGGGGTTGGATCTTGAGGAGTGGGGAGGGGAGGCGGAAGAAGAGGGAGAGGAAGGCTGTGGTGAGGATTTTTGTCCCCCTTTTTCTTAATAAAAAGAGTATATATATGTCAAGTAATTTTTCTGGTTAGGTTAAAACTTTTTGGTTTAATTTTGGTTTGGTTAAAATTATTTTGGTTAAAACTTTAGGTTATGTAGACTTTCAAAGAAGTCTACTATAATATTTTTCTTTATTGTTTAAATAGTTTATAATATATAATCTAATTTTTTTCCTTTCATTATATATTTAGTAGACTTAGTATATATATATTTTTTTATAAAATTTTATTTCACATTTTAACTCATAAATAAATAAATTTAATTTTAAAATATTTTTTTTTTGTAACCACCAATTATAGTAGACTAAAAAAGACGTCTACTATTGAAGTAGACTTTAGTGTAACTATTGGCGCCAATAAAAAAAATAGGTTCCAAAATTCATTTTTGTTTCCCGCTTAGTTAATTTTAATTTTAAAATATTTTTTTTTGATAAACACCAATTAATGTAGACTGAAATAGACGTCTACATATAAGTAGACTTTACTGTAAGTCTACTATACCCTATATATTGGCGCCAATATGGAAAAAATGGGCTCCAAAATTAATTTTTACTTCCCG